CTGCCATCACAGTTTTTAAGGCTAAAGTCACCTGAACGAAATTTGCTGATCCATCGTTGACACTTACGAACAAAAGTTCAAAACTTTTCCATAGAATTATTTGACATTATTTGTGGCTACAGAGGCGTTGTTTCCCTTCTTGTATTCAAACAGCATTACGTGCCGAATGTGTCTCGTATAATAGTTAAACGAACCGCCTAAACGATACGTTAGTATAGCCTATATAATGTGTAAAGTTTAGTATTCTCAATCCATTATAGTGATGTACGTTATTTGAGAAGTGGTTAATGAAAGTGTTCCAAAACTCGACATTCATTTCTTGAAGACCTAATATTTATGAATATATCAAATTTGGACAGACTTTTACCTGATCATTATTTTGGCCAGAAAACTTATTTCAAACGCATTTCCTTTCATTCCGCTGAATTTTAGTAGTTATTCCTCAGAATTAATTTCTTGATTGATAGAAGGCTTAGACAGAAGAGAGTATACTTATAAAGCGTTGATGAGTCTCTTTGTGCTAAAGGTACAAAAACATCAAATTGTATATTATATTTTCACAATCTTGTTTTAACAGGGCATAAGAACACTAATCGTTTGGTTTTTTATATATATTAACGTTTATGGTTTATTGTATCGTTAAGAATTTTGAATAGTGAAATATGTTGCATAAACGAACTGGAATCGAAATAAGAATGAAACATACAAACCTTTATAACGGTATTTCACTGAAAGATAGTTATACATTTTATGTATGCATGTTATGTATGTAGATAGATATATAGGTTAGGTTTAAGATATGCTAAAGCTAGCATTCACTACAACATGTTTAGGCATGTACTTAATTCTCACAAAATGGTGAATTGAAAACTTTGCTTTACGTATGGCCAAGCGAGACCTTGAGGTTCGAGTTTCGTTATGGATCGAAGGCAAGGGTTCAAGACTCCGTACTCTCAGCTGTGGACGCGTTAGAAAAATGGCAGTCAATCCTGTTGATTGGTTCTTCGAAATATCGGATAAAGCCCTTG